TCCTGAAATTATCCTAATTTAAGTGTGCCATCTGTTTCCTGTTGGGACCCTAACTAGAAAAAAACCCATCAAAATTCATATTGCATAGCAACACTTAAAGTCTAAAAAATCCATTGTCTCAGATGAACTCCCATCACAAAACTCACTCTCAAATCGTTTGCCCCACAATATCATCCTCCAAAGTAGTTCAACAGCTACTGTACTGTACTGGGTCCATTCTCTGCTCAGAAAAGCCAGAGTTGGTGCATCTAGTGTCCTCCCATGCATCTTTGCCTTTCTCTTTCAGGGTCTCTTACTGGTATCTCTCCCATTGGAAGGAACATGGATCTGATTAGTTCCAGTATCTTCATGAATCAGTCTCCTGTATTTCCAGGAATACATGCATTGTAAAAGCGAAACCCAGGATAAAAACAGAAGCTCTGAAGGTAGACATTTCAGACTTTGACGCCAGGGTAGGAGAAGGATTTTGACCTCCTCCATTCTGACCAAGAGGAGGCCTAATTTTCTCCTATCTTTGTTCTAACACGTGTCATCTGGAGCCGAACTTTAAAGTCCCTGCTTCAGCTTCGTTGCAGCTCTTCCAAGACTTTCCAGTATATCCGTTTTTCAAAATTCGTAGCCTGTATCAAGGAGAGCCTAGTGTTCAGTTCTGAAAGTACAAGAAATACCTAAAGATTGTTGGTCATTGTTTCATAGTGGCTGAGAAATCTTTCCTGTTGCCGCTTTTCTCACATCTTGCCTCTGATCAGCCCTGTCTCTTCAGCTGTACTTAAATGAAAGAAATCAAGACAACAACGTTCAGCAATCAGCGACCCTAAAATAGCAGGCTGCCGCCAGCCAGTTAAGCACACACTCGCACACAGGCAATCATTCAAATTTCGTACCTGGCAAATAAGGCTAACAATTTATACTTTGATCTGACTTAATTATTTGAAAAAAAAACTGCTTTTCTGTGGCATAAATACAGATGCCAGTTCTGTCTTGCGGCCACATTTCTCACTAGAAAGTCACATTAATTGTAGGATTCCCTTACAAAGAAACTAGTAGAATGATTTCTTGTAAATGGTAAACTAACGAAAAGGTATCCACTAGTGCCTGTGGAGTTAAAAAAAAAAAATATTGCCTCTGATTGAAATTAGATGGTTTCAGTCCATAAATATTTACTGAGTGTTCACCAGGTGCCAGACACTGTTTGCTGCAAAAAATAACAGTACTGAAGAAGGCAAACCAAGTCTCTGTCCACAGTGGTTGCATTCCAAGTGAGAAGGAGATAAGTAATAAACATGTAGATAAATAAATACAATTTCAGGAACTAAGTGCTATGAAGAAGATTAAATAGGGTAATATGGCAGATGGAACCTGAGGTGTGATGTGGTTACTTGGTGACATCTGAGTTGAGACCTGAAGGCTGAGAAAAGGGCAGCAGTGTGGCCTTCTAGGGAGGAGCTCTGCTAGCAAAGAAATAGTAAGTGCAAAGGATCTGGGGTAGAAATGAACCTGGTATAGGGCACCTGGGTGGCTCAGTCAGTTAAGCGTCTGCCTTCAGCTCAGGTCATGATCTTGGGGTCCTGGGATCGAGTCCCACGCTGGGCTCCCCTGCTCTGCGGGGAGTCTGCTTCTCCTTTTCTTTTTGCCGCCCCACACCCCTTGTGCACTTTTTGTCTCGCTCTCTCTCAAATAGATAAGTAAGATCTTTAAAAAAAAAAAAAGAAAGAAAGAAAGAAATGTACCCAGTGTATTTAAGGGCAGAAAGATGGGCAGTGGGGCTGGGGCAGAGCAAGAGGTTGACTTAGAAGGGGAGGAGGAGATGAGGCTGGAGAGGGAGGCCCAGCCAGGTCAAAGACGGAGAGGAAATTTATGGAGGATTTAAAGCAGGGAAGCTGGGAAGTGATATAATCTAAATGATATTTTAAAAAGATAAGTCTGCTACTTTGTAGAGAATGGACTGTAGGAGGTTAAACATAGAAGTGGGGAGACAATAGCCCAGAGGAAACAATGGCAGGCGCCGCTGGCTTGGCCCAAGGTTTCAGCAAAGAGGACATACTGGCCCATACAGTGCTTCTGTGAAGATGAGGAAGTCTCCCCTTCCCTTTAGTGGCCCCAAATACCAGGTGGATTAAATGTGGGGTGTGGAGAAAAGAGGAGGCCAGATGACTGAGGCTTGCACCTGCATAATGGGGTGGACTGTGGTGAAATCACTAGCTCAGTTTTGATCATGCTCACTTAGAACACCATGAAGCGGGTGTACCCAGTTCCCAACAGGCAAACATTTATCACACTGACAAAGTCAAGTAGTTTGGCTAGGGGGGGAAGTTACCACTTCAACCAGCACCGGAAACCTTATGCTGATGTCATGGAAATAGCATTTGTGAGATATCCAACCAATGTTGCCTTCCCAGTAAACTCTTGTACCCATACCCCGCCCCCTCCCATTGAGTCAGTGGCATGCATTGAGTCACACAGAGAGAGAGAGAGAGAAAAAAAAACAACCAAACAGCCAAGAATGGGTAAGTCATCATTTAGCTTTGAGTTTCAAAGTAGGATTTTAAAAAATTCATGGCAAGACAACAGTTTGAAATCAAGTGCTTTTGACTAGCAAAAGCCAGACTGTGTTGAAAGAAAAAAAATGTAATTGTATCTTCCAATGAGGCAGAGCTTGGAGAACTGTCCCTGAGCAGATTGTAGATAGTGCCAGGAAGAACACAGGATATGACGTCAGAGTTGTTTTCCCATGAGAGGAAAGACAGATCAAGTTTAAGCAGCAGATGGGAAGTTGGAAGATTCAGAGGGTAGAAGCACAGGGTTGCCCCAGGTGAGTGGTGGGGGAGTCTTAAAGCTGAAGAGGTGTGTACCCTGCCTTCCATTTGGAACCAGGCCAACTACAGAGAAGTGGAAAGGCCGTGGTAGGCAACAAGAGGCCTTGTGATCATGCTTCCAGTTCCTGGGGTCTGTTGTGTTTTCCCTGGGAGAGAATGGCGGAAGGCTAACAGGAGGAATGCGCTGGAGGATGCCTGGCTTTGGGCCAAGAAGGTGCGAAGGTCTTTATCCCCACAGGCTATGGCAGGGACTGTGGCGGTCGGTAGAATGTGGAATCAGTGTAGGCCCAAAGCCTGGAGAGACCGATCTGACCAAAGGAAGCTGGGAAGGCCTGGATATTGGCAGACAGACTTTCCCTGCACCTTTCCTACAGCTTCCCTTCTACCTGGGAAGGGGAGAAGCCTGGGATGAAGGACAAACCCTGAGGAAGGACTGAGTTGTTTACCAAGGGGGACTGTTTTAAACCTAAAGGGACTGAGCTGTGCTTAAGCAGCAGCATCAAGTGCTTTCCACCTACACCAGGAACAGGGGGTTTTTTTTTAGCAAGAAGTCATTATAGACAATAAAGTGTTTTTGTTTTGTTTTGTTGGTATATCTAATTTTTAGTGCATACATTTCAAGATTGCTACATTAGGAAAGTCTGCATCTTTTTACTGAATGAGGAGAGCTCAGCTTGATGTACCTCAGCCCATAATGGGGAGAGGGGGAGACAGGAAAGAAGAGGGCAAGGGTTGACTGTCAACACTGGTTGTCTCCAGGGAAGGTAACTGGGGGACAGAGGAGGGAAAAAGACATATTTTTTTACTGTATACTTTTTGTACCTTTTGCATTTGTACCAGGCATGAGCATTAACTTTCAAAAAGTAAATTAAAATGGGAAAAAGAAAAGTTTCTGAAATGAAAAAAAATAAATAAATAATGCAGGGGCGCCTGGTTGGCTCTGTCGGTAAAGCATGCAACTCCTGATCTCAGGGCTGTGAGTTTGAGCCCCACGTTGGATGCAGAGCTTACTAAAAAATAAATAAATAAATAAACCAAAAAATGCAGATGCACAGAATCTGATAGTGAATGCTTGACAGCTGACATTAAGTATTTTTTAGCTTGCCAAGAATCTTCTCCATGCACCGTGTGGTTGTTCCTTTCATTTTCACTGATGCTGGTTTTGTAAGCTGTCCATCTTGGCTCTCCAGCTTGCCTAGGCCATCCCTGCTTTGTACCCCAAACACATATCATACATCCAGTAGACAGGCCATCACTTCTAAAGGGGAAAACAACCCTCCTGACCCAGTCTTGCCTAGATTGAGGCATGGAAAGGATTGATGAGGGGTATTTGTCCTCATGCTGGACATTTCTATTCCTTCGGCATCAAATAACAGTGTGGAAGCAGTGGAAAGAATTTGGGCACTGGAGTCAAACTCACCAGGACTGAGCCCTGCCAGCTTCGTTTTCTTGGGTGAGTCTTAAGTTTCTCCTTCCACACAGTAGAGTTGATACAAACCTCATTGGGCTATCTTAACACAATGCTACAAACCATTCTGATTACTCCCAAACCCCAGTCCAAGAGAACGGAGATTAATATTTGAAAGATCTTGCATCTGACCAGACTCTGCATACCTCTTCTTCCTACCCCCATTCTGTTGTCCCTACCTTGATAAACCCTATTAGTATCTCCTATGGTCTGGGCTCAGGGCTTTCATTTAAAATGAACTGGGCTATAATAAAGTCTGTTTGTCAGTGTCCCTTGCAACTAGACATTCCGTGTTCTATGGCCAATGGATTTCAGTATCAGTAGGGTGTGAGCCTCTCCTGACCCTTCCTTCTTCCTGCTGACTGCAAAGCAAACAAAAAGGATGGAATTGGAGAAACTGCTGGACCAGGGTATGGAAGTCAAATCCTGAGGCAAGTAAAACTAGGAGCTAGAAAGAATCTTGGCTCTTGACACCTTGGTGCTCTATTCTAGCCTTATTAGTTTACCTGGATTTTTAGGTAAGAGAGCAATCAACCTGTTTCATGTTTACTGTTACTTGGACTTTTCCATCATTTGCAACCTAATCTAACGAATATAACAAAGTTGGATCATTCTAACTTCTTCCCCATACCAGTCCTGGGGGCTCTAAATGCTGGTGGTCAAATTACATGACTAAGCAGATCACGGCCAATACCTACTACCTTCTCCAACCTCACCTGGGTCCTCAGTGCTGCTTAGCAGTATGTCCAATTCTTTCCAGTAGCCACTTCAAATCTTCGTGCTCTTCAAACTTTTCTCGCTTCCTTTTCCCATTTCCCTCTCAGCAGTTGACCTCTCCTTATTTCAGAGGGAAAAATACAAAAACCCATTAGATAAGACATCCCCCCTCAATCACCCACCTCCAAGGTTACTCATATCCGCACCCATTTTTTTTTTCCTTTCCTCCAGTTACCATGAGATTAGCTTCTGAAGGCTAATTCCTCCCCTGTGCTAGGGATCCAGTCTCTTCCATCCTCCTCAGGGACTACCCTCCTACTGTCCATGATCTTCCTCCCTTATTCCACTGGCACCTTCCTTTCAGTTTCAAGCATCCTCAAGTAGTTCTCCTCTGCAAAACAAACACACAAAAACTTTCCTTCAGCCTTGCATTCCTGTTCAGTTTTCTCTGCTTTCCTGCTCCCCTCCCTCTTCCCTCTCTAACTCCCTTCCTTCACTTCTCTCCCTCTCCCTTCCTATCTCCTCCCCTCCACAGCCAAACTACTTGACGTTTCAAGGTCTCCACCTCTTCCTCCCTCAGGATCTTCTCAAACCTCCAGAGCATGGTCTCTGCTCCCACCACTCCATAAAAATGCTCTTGTCAAGGTTACTAACACCTTCCTTGTAGCCAAATCCATGGATATTTCTCAGTCCTCAACTTGCTTTGCTCCTCAGTAATGTGACAAGGTTGACCACCCTTCCTTAATGCATTCTCTTCTCTTGGCTTCCATATCATTCATCTTTTTTCCCCCAGTGACATCTCTTTCTCAGTCTTTGTTATGTTTTTTTTTTTTCTTTTACTCTACCCCATAAATGTTAATCTTCCTGTCTGTCTAGGTCATGGCTTCCTGGGAAGTTTCATTAACTTATTGGACCTCAGGCTGGTGATCCCCAAATCTTCATTACGCTCTCCAAGGTGGATCTCATTTTGGGGCTTTAGAGTCATACATTCAACAAGCCACAGAGCAGCATCATGTGATATCTTATAGTGATCTCAAACTACCTTCATCCCCCACCCCCAGACCTGCTCTTCTGTTATTCCAATTCGGTAAATGAACAACCATCCGTCTAGTTGCCCAAGACAGTCATGGGTCCTCTTTAATCAGTCATAAAGTCTTGCCAAGTTTACTCTTCAATGTGTTAAATATGTTTCAGATGCATCCACTTCTCACTTCTCTCCATTCTCACTGCTAATTCCCTCATGCGGTTCCCCATCGTCTCTCCCTGGGGCTATATTCTAAAACTTTCGCTCTGCTTCCAGTCTTGCACACCCATTCTCTGCAGTATAGCTGAGTGATCTTTCAAAAGTGCAGATGTGCTCTTGGCATTCCCTGATTCCCTATGGCCATTAGGATAAAGCTTAATATCTTGGCTTTCTTACAAAAGCTGTCTGATATGTCTCCAGCCTGTGGCTTTGGCCTCTTCTCTTGCCATTTCCCTCCTTTTATTCTCCACTCGGCCACATTCAACTTCAGTTCCTCAAATACGTGCTACTCTCTATTGGTGCTGAGCCTCTGAACAGGCTAGGCTGTTCCCTCTGCTGGGAATCCTATTCCCACTGCCCTTACCTGTCACCCTCCCTCATCCTTGGCTACCTCCCCCTTCTTTCAGGTCCCTGATTGTTATCACTTTCATCTAGAGAGTCTTCTCTGACCTCCCAAGTTTGGTTCAGTACCCCTCCTATGTGCTCTCTGCCAACCACAAAGACTGAGATCTTTTTTCTGTCATAGCACTTACACATCACATTGTAATTGTTTATTTATCCACTTCCTTTTACTAGATTTTCGGCATTGTGAGGGTAGGGACTATGTCTATTTTACTCATCTTTATATCCCCAGTGTTTCTCGCTTACTAGATGCTCAAAATATTTTTAGTGAATACATGAATCCAAAGTAGGTACCTGGTATTCAATACATGTGTCCTTTTCTCAGTGGCTAAACTCATCTGACTAGTTAGGCAATTAAGAGATCTTCAGTGAAACAACTCTCATGGTGAGTGAAAAGAAAGAATCCCTCTCTTTAGACATTTTTATAATTACTAAGTTTAACAAAGCTCTGTAAATTGTGATGCTCATTCAGAGAAAAAGATCAAATTAAAATCAGCTCTTGCTTTCCAATTAAGCTGTCAACAGGCTTCCTTCTTTGAGGTTTCCCCAGGAGTCCCACAGAATAAGGAGATACACAAAAGGTGTATCTTAACTGTCAGCATAGACCCTTATTACTTTCCTACTCCACTCAGGAGTGGAGTTCCTATCTCCTGTCTTGTGATCTTAAGTTGCTAGAAAATTGAAAAGAGCTCTCCATCATTCATGAAGGATGAAGGGTCCACTTCTGTTCAAATATTCCATGAATATTTAACTGCATGCTGACTATATGCAAGACACCCTCTTATTTGTCACAATCTCAGGTTTTATGAAGGATCAAACTTTTGTCTCCTGCAAGTATTTTATTCTCTCGCAGACCTCCCTTCAAGAGGGGAGCCCTTACTCTATTACCAACGGCCCCCTGGCCTTCAAGAAGCAGAATGAAATCAGAGAAATAGTTTCAGTCACGGTCATCCAAGTCCAAACCACATTACAGAGTTAAGACACCAAAAAGAATTTTGCTCTGAGCTGTTTTTCTAATCATATTGATCATGATGCATTGCACTACTTACACGCTCTGATCCAGTCATTCCAGATGGTCCCTAACTTACAATGGTTTGACTTAACAATTCTTTGACTTTATGATAGTTCAAAAGCGATATGCATTCAGTAGAAACTGAACTTTGAATTTTAAGTTTGGATCTTATTCCAGGCTATTGATGGACAGTTTGATCTCTTGTGATGCTGGGCAACAGCATCCCAGTCAGCCATCCCAGTCAGCAATTAAGAGGGTAAACAACCAATATACTTACAACCATGCTGTACCCATTCAACCATTCTATTTTTCACCTTCAGTATAGTATAGTATAGTATAGTATTCAATAAATAAAAGATATTCAAGACTTTATTATAAAATAAGCTTTGTTTCACCCAACTGTAGGCTCATGTAAGTGTTCTGAGCACATTTAAGGTAGGCTGGGCTAGGCTAAGCTTTGATGTTCAGTAGTATTCAATGCATTTTCAACTTAAGATATTTTCAACTTATGATGGGTTTATTGGAATGCAACCCCATCGTAAATCAAGGAAGATCTGTATATATTAGCCCCTGATACATGTTTGCTGGTTCTAAAATAGTTTTCTTCATGAGAAGATAACTGGTTCAGAAAGGACCAGAAATTTAGAGCTATTAAAAAACCAATTCCACTATCTCCAACTTCACTTAGAGAACTCATCTCCTGGAATTCTCCAAAAACATGGCATTACTTTGTTGGCACCCATATAAGTTGAGTTTGCTTAGAATTAATACCAGAAAACAAAAAGCCAATGTTGGCATTTCAGAAATGCTGTGTTAGCTGGAAATAAAGCATGCAAACAGAAGTAAATGAAAGAGGGCCTTAAAAGTCATGGAGTGTTTGCCAGCCAGGAAGATGATGTCACTGCGTAAGATTCCATTTTGTTTAATTATACCTAGTTCTCCAAATAAAGACTTCTATCACCTTTCCACATTAAGAGAAACTGTAAAAAAAAAAAAAAAAAAAAAAAAAAAAAAAAAAAAAAAAAGCAAAGTCACAAAACATTTTCTGGAAAGGTTCTCTCACTTGTTTGTGTGTAAATCTTCTCTAGTGAATGTTGGGTCCTGTGATTACTGGTGTACTTCCAAATCAGACCAAGGGTATTTCAGAATCCAGCAGGTTGACTGGTAGCTCAAAGTGTCAGCCATTATGAGCAACGATAATGGCATATATCAAATTAATGTAATATTCTTAGTAAAAATTTAAACTACTACATGTCCTGCCCATTCTCTCATTCATGTCTCCCATTTTGTAGTATATCTCATGGGTGAGCAGGCTTAATGCATCATAATGAAGAAATACATAAAAAGGTTAAGATCAACTGTCTATTCAAATTCCCATCACAACCAAATATTTTTGCAGATCAAAAAGATATTCAAACTGTTGTCACAGATCAACATACAACTAAATTGCAATACAGGCTAATAGGGATAGTTCCTTGGAATCTGTTAGGGGATTTCAAATGTTGCATCACTGCACTGAATCTGTCCCCTCAAACTACATAGACCCTTTTCAGAAGTGTTTCAGCTATGAATAATTTGAAATATCCTTTTCATTAGCCATCGAATGACTTAAAAAATACTTAAACTGAAGATAATTTCAGAATTTCTTCAAGATTCTCTGGTTCTGTTATATTTCAAAGAGGCTACTGAGCTCTTCAACTGAAGTTTTATTAGTCTGGGACCATCTGCTCTGACAAGTCTCATTCCACACAAAGGACCAGCACCAAAGTCCTAAGGGATTAAGATGAAGTAGAATGAGTATTAATTCATTGATGCCAAAGAGTCGGATTATCTTGTTCCAATAGGTTAGCAGGTAATGAGATTCTTAACCACAGTAGAGCCAAGAAGCTAAACATAAAACTATGTTGCAAAACTGCAGGAAATGCTGGCTTCAGTATGAACGGGATCCTCTCCAAAAGCGGACAGCTTACCTCAGTATTTTTGAACTCCCCTCACTCAGTCTCTAGTTTATTTACAGCGAATAACTGCTCATTGTTACCTACTCTGATAAAAGAACATCTAAGGACTGGTATCTGGGGCCAGACTGGATTAAGGCTTGGACTCATGCCTTGTCTGAAGAATTCCTTGTGTTTGTGAAATTCCACCCAGACATTTTCAATCGTCCTTTTGTACTTAAAGAGGAATTAAAACACTCTGGTAAATAAATATGGCCATATTTGAAGTCAGTAGTAATAATGAAACCATAAAAGCACCTTTAAACAAACTCTTGATTATAAACTCTCAAACTTTTAACCTCCTATAGCACATGCCAAAGCAGTAAACGTTCTTTTAGTGCTTGTCTGCAAAAGGCCACGTCTCAAGAGTAGTGTCTGACTTTCGTTTCATCACATCACAGATATCATTTCAGAGCTATATTCGTTACCTCTGCAACAAGATACCAACTTTGCATAGTACACCTCATTCAGGAATTCTTGCTGTAGTTCTTTGAATATATTCAAACAAAAATATAATTAACATTTGCATTCATGCAGTGTGACTAATATAGAAATTACACTAACAAACTTGTTAGAATTTACACACTCAACTGAACACTGTTTCTTTCAAAAAGTCATCGGAAGCAGTTTGGTGTGTGTGTGACAGAGAGGGACAGAGGGCTCCAAGAAGGTGCCAATCTCTTGATGTTGTGACTCCTTCCTATGGTTTCCACACCTGGACATGTGGATAATTA